ATTTATACTTTTTAATAAATTTGTCTAATGCAGTAAACATTTTAATTTAAATATATTTTATTTCTTTAAATTTCATTTTATAAAAAATACTGAGTATTTTGTTTGAGTTATTTTTAAAAACCACATCATTATCAAGGCCAGTAATAAGAGGAACGACAGACACAGTGAGAGAAATCTCGAGTAAAAGACTTATAAAAAATAAGTTTTATGACAGCTCTGCTTAATATTGCCGTAATGGTTTTATTAAGTGAGTAAAAGACAGAAAGAATTTGAGGAGGAAGAGAGGGGCAAAAAATATAAAACACCCACTTGATATTAATAAAAATATTGTGCAGTTTAAGTAAAAAGAATTGCAGTATCATTTTCAAGAAATGGGCAACTCTGCGGCGATGCAGAGTAACTAGCCAACGCCGCTAATATCGACGGCGTCAAATTTGGCAAATCGAGCCGCCGCCGCTTTTTGCAACGATTGTGTTCTTTGATGTAAAGTTATTAAAGAAAATAAACACAATTTGTTTAAAAGTTAAATTTTTATATTGTTTAACAAATTAAACTGAAATTTTTTTAACAAAAACTGCCAACAACTGTTTAATAATTTTCCAAAAGTCCCCTACCAATATAAATTTTGTTCACATCATCTGGTTAAATTGTAAATGTTTAAATTTTAACACAAAAACCTGATGTTTTCTCATGAAATTTAAATTTAAACAATTAAATTCTTTGTTTCACAAAAAAAGCAAAAACTGAAAATTAAACTTTATTTGCTTTAACATGCTTTAAAAAAAGTTTGTAAAATAAACATATTTTTCTCAGCTGAGAAAAAAATATCAATTATTTTCATTTCAATAACTTTTTACACAAAGAAGGGGTTTTTAAAGTGATTTTTTTTATAAATAATTATGATTTAATGTTGTTTTTTAGTTTGCACGTTTGTTATGAGAGATGAATGAATAAATTTATTGCAGTTGATGTGAAATTTGTAATTTCTTTTTTCTTTACTTGAGGTGTGTTGATTTTTTTGTAATAAATTTATAGAATTCATTTAGTCTGCTGCAGTTTCTTTTATTCTTTTAATGAATAAAAATATTTATGTTGATTTATTCATTTGCATGCTTTTTTTTAATGTCACGTTTTCTTTTCTAAAAGAAAATATACGAGATTTTTCTTATTGAAATTTATAGTTTCTGCATTAGTATTGATTGATCATGTTTGTAACCTTGTCTTTTGATCATTATTACAATCTAATGATTTGCTTGGTGGGAGCAATGTGGTTAATGTAGCGTTTTACGATGGAAATTTACAAAAGAAAGTTATTGGATAGATAGATAGATAGATAGATAGATAGATAGATA